AAGCTCTCCTGGGATTGTTGTAATTAATTTTCTGTTTTGGGAATTTTGTGCTTGACTGTTTCTTTGGATGGTTTCTTAGATTCCTTTTGTGTATTAAGCTATACTTTGTTTATTTGTGTTGTATAATGCTGTAACTGGACGTAATATGTCTAACTTCCCCAAATTAACAAATCCCCAGGATTTCGCTTCAAAAAGTTGCTGCAAGAAAGAAAACAAAATTTTTACTTTTAAGTTGAATTAAACAATTTTGTTGGTGCCAACTTAAACAATTTATTTGTCCTACATTCCATTGGTTTTTTACTTGAAATTCTTGGGTTTGGACGTTGCCACCATTGGGTATACAGCTGTTGCCTATTGATTCATTCATTTCAAGATATAGTAACACTTTTTAATGAATGGATAGAGTTTTAAATTGTTGAAAGTTAAAATATTTCAATAATTTCTTTTTCATCTTTCATTTCTTTTGTGGAAAATTACCAAATTTTTTAAATATATTTTCTCTAACATTCAAGCAAACCAAGAAAAATTAAGAAGTCAAGAAAGGTGTGCGAAAATAATTGTTGATTTTTTTTTTTAAATTGACAAAAGAATTTATTATATGAAAATAACAGGAGATGTAATACTACAAACCATTACAAAAACTCTTATCTCGTTTACAATCTCATGCCAATGCAAAAGGAAAAAAATAATAAACTGACAAACACAATAACAAAAAACCATCTGAGAAGCAAACAAAAAACCACCCTCCTTGAATGAAATAATCAAAGATGAAGGAAAGAAAACTGATCATATGAATTCATGCCGCAGAAAACTCCCAAAAACCACACCACAATTTTTGAGGAAGTTGGCACCAGTCACTAAAAATGTTCAAGTATACTACTTACTAGTCCTGTTGAAAAAAGGGGTTTTGTTTGAGATTAAAGTAATTTTCAAAATGTTGTAGCTTTCTATGGAATATAAATTATTTAAGGACAAAAATAATTGATTATGAATTTTTGGATTCTAACTTCTAACATATTACAGATGTTGCTGCTACTTCCCTCATTCATTAAACACTAAACTTTAGTTGAAAATGCTTCAAACCAAACTTCAGCTGAGAATACTTCAAACACTTTTTCAAATATGCAATTAGACTTTTCGGGTTGAGTACTTGACTACCATTTTTGGATTTTCCAAGGTTTTCCATACTCATATAATAGCAGTGCCAGGGCTCATGTCGCTCTGCACAAGAAACAGACAGTTTACAGTGCATTTCTTTCTCATCAAATTGCAACAGTCGAAAGATCATCAATCCCTAATATCGGAGAGCATACGCAGTTGTGTCTCTTATGTCAAGAAGGAAGCACATGAATGGGCTTCCCATTACCTCCACTTCTCCTTTCCCACTTTACTCATTTCAGGTGCTTTATTAATTTTTCAATAGGAAGTGTATTTGAACCCATTCCTCATGAAATAGAGAACTTTTACTTTAACAATTGAGTTATAAGTTCATGTGCATGTTGTTAATATTTCTTAACTTAACCTAATATTCCACCCACGATAGGTTTACTTCTAGGCCATTTCGTGGCCAAAAAAGGATTTTTAGGTTACCTGATTCTGTTACTGCAAGAACAAATGGATGGTAATCTTAGAAAAGCATACATTGGTTCAAATGTCCAAGCAGGATTATCAAATTTACTAAGCACGTTCTTGGTATACTTAGGATATAATCAAATCGGTCTCTTCAAAATAATTCTCTACACTTACTCATCTTTCATAGCTATAAGTTCATTTTTATTGGTTGTATATCTTTTCGTTTTTTATGAGATTATTTTGTGCATTTGGAAGAATCAATAGCAATTATTATTTGTCCAATTCTTGTTGGAGGGTATTCTGCTACTGTGGGTCAGTCGAAGTCCATCCGACAGTATTCTCTTTTTTCACTTTCCGCTGGGAGTAATAACAATGGGCCAAGCAGGAGAAGACTGTGTGCGTTATCTTTTCCGGGATCAGCTTGCATCAGAAGAAGAATCACAAAACATAGATGTGAAAGAAATTCAGAATCGTACAAATGTTAAGTCATTCATTGCTAGATCTCCTGCCATCGTAGGTGCAGCATATATGTCCATGCATTCTTGGGGTCAAACCTTCAAGATTTCAACTATGGTGATGGTAGTAGGTTATAATCTGTTCTTTTGGTTTGGTACCAAATTTTACAAGAATGAAGAAGACATTGGAAATACGTTGAACTAAGAGTTAAAGCAAGCAGGAAATGTTCTTCTAAGATTATGCCCTTTATGGTTAATATTCATATTTACCAGTTTTTTGGTCGGTCCAACAAGCGATACTTTGTTCATTACGCAAGTTGATTATGAAGACAACAATTCTAAACAAAGCTTCAGGCTTCTGGAAAGCTCTTTCTATGTGGGTGCAAAATGCATAGCCTTCGCATCCTCACAGTGTTGTGGTCTTCTAATAAAAAAGTTTTGCAAAGAGGAAAACCAACAGAAGTGTGCTAGGGTTGTAAGAATAAGTATTGGGTTGATTTTCTCCTCTCTGTGCTGCCTGGTGGCTTGTCATGTCGAGGCTCACAGATTGGATAGCGGTAATTCCTGCAGCATTGTTTGGTTTGTGCCGCAATTTTTCCATCTAGGATTGACAAAAGGACTTGTTAATGAAGGGATTGACGATTTCCTCTATGACTATCTACCACCATCCATGAAGTTTCATGTACTTGCAGTAGATGGATGTGCGGAGGGGTTAGGCTGTTTGCTAAATGCAGTACTAAATTTAGCATGTCCAAGCAGTACTAAATTTAGTATGTCCAAGCAACTGGATTGGCACTAGCATTAGCACGAGTCACCTTTCCTATTACTATCTGATGCTAGCGATTATGAACCTATGCTCCTTAATTGTCTTCATCATTGTAACGAGTATCTATAAACTGTTAAGTGAAATAATCTTGCATCAATTAAGTTTGGGATTTCCCACACCATTATAAGCCACTAAGAAAATGTAGCAGCCAAATTATAATTTGATAAATGTTCTTTTTTTTTATTATTATTTTCTTGTTAGTTAAATGATAATTTTAGATTTTGGACTTTTAATTTTTGAATATTTTTAGTCCTGTAATTAGTTTTTACAATTTTTTGTTCTTGAACCATAACAAATAATTTTTTTTTGTCCTTTCATTAATTAGTCTATTAATTTTGTTTAAATATGTATATTTTTAGTTCTTAAATTTTAAGTTTAAGAAATAAAAATAAACA